GCTAGTTCTCTTTCATAGAGCCAGCTGTTCATTTTATTGATTTTCTCTATTGATTTCCTGTTTTCAATTTCATTGATTTCTGCTCTAATTTTTATTATTTCTTTACTTCTGCTTACTTTGGATTTAATTTGCTCTTCTTTTTCCAGCTTCCTAAGGTGGAAGATTAGATTATTGATTTTAGATCTTTCTTCTTTTGTACTATATGCACTCATTGCTATAAGCTTCCCTTTAAGCACTGCATCCCACAAATTTTGATAAGTTGTATTTTCATTATCATTGTTTCAAAGTACTTTTTCATTTCCCTTGAGATTCCTTATTTGACCCATGTGTTATTTAAAAGTGTGTTGTTTAATTTCCAAGCATTTGGAGATTTTCCAGGTATCTTTTTGTTATTGATTTCTAGTTCAATTCCATTGTACTCTGAGAGCAGACTAATGCATGATTTCCATTCTTTTAAGTTGGTTAAGCTGTGTTTTATGGCCCAGAATGTGGTCTGTCATGGTAAACGTTCCATGTGAGCTTGAGAAGAATGTGTATTCTGCTGCTGTTGGATAAAATAGCCAATAGATGTCAATTATATCCATTTTATAATTATATCCAATTATATTATGTCTTCTTGGAGAATAAACCTCTTTATCATTCTGTAATGCCTTTCTTTATCCCTGATAATTTTCCTCGCTTGGATGTTGGCTCTGTCTAAAATTAATATAGCTACTCCAGCTTTCTTTTGCTTAGTGGTAGCATGATACATTTTTCTCCATCCCTTTACTTTTAAGCTATATGTGTCCTTATATAAGTGGGTTTCTTGTAGACAGCATATAGTTGGGTCTTGTTTTTTGATCCACTCTGATGAACTCTGTCCTTTAATTGGTGTGTAGATCATCGATGTTTAAAGTGATTATTGATATAGGTGGATTAATATCTACTGTTACTATTTTCTACTGGTTGCCTTTATTCTTTGTTCCTATTTTTGTCTTTCCTTCTTTTCCTGCTTTTTGTGGTTTAGTTAAAGAGATGCTTGCTCTGTATTATAAGTTATATGACAAGAAAGAAGACAAGCACTGTTCAAGCTACTCTTGATAAAGTGTTTCACTTCTTTGTAAAAAACTTAATTCTCAATGTTTCTAATGTTTTAAATTACAATGTACTAAATAAATATTAGTTTTACTATGTTTTTTCATTCCCTGTATATCTATAGCCTACAGCAGAAGAGTTTTTAAGATTGTTGACCAAAATTTTTAAAGATCACAGAATAATAATTTTTCCCACTGAAATATTAAGATCACTTTGCATGGTTTTAGCTTGCAAAGAGAGAAATGCCTGTACTATGTTCCTGGATGGGAAGACTCAATGTTGTAAAGATGTCAGTTCTTTCCAAGTCAGTCTATAAATTTAATATAAACCCAATCAAAATCCCAACAAGGTTTTTTTGTGAAAGCTGACAGACAGGAAAATTCATCTAAAACAAATAGCAAAGAAAACATTTAAAAAGATTAATGACAGACAGCAGACCAACTGTCGAAATATACCATACTATAAAAGGAAAATAATTAAAATAGAAGGCCATTGCTAGGAGCTGAAAAGAAAAAAAAACAGAATAAAAAGTCTAGCAATGAGCTCAAATATATGAGAACTTAGTACATAATAAAAGTTGTATTTCAAACGTGTGAAAAAGATAAACTATTTGATAAATAGTAGTGGGACATTATCCATCAATTTGGAAAAAACAATCAATAAATCTCAGAGAGATTAAAAGTAAACATTCTAAAAATACTAGAAGAAAATATGAGAAAATATTTTTTATTAATTAAGCAATACTGAATGACATAAAATCCAAAAGTGAGTTTTTTAAACTTTTTTTTCCCTGAGGAAGATTCATCCTAAGCTAACATCTGTGCCAGTCTTCCTCTATTTTATATGTGGGTCGCTGCCACAGCATGGCCACTGCCAAGTGGTGTAGGTCCGTGCCCGGGAACTGAACCCAGGCTGCCAAAGCAGAGCACACCAAACTTAACCCCCAGGCCATGGAGCCAGCCCAAAAGAGACTTTTTTCAAATTTCCAAATTTGAATATATAAAAATTAAAAATCTGGGGCCAGCCTGGTGGCATAGTGGTTAAGTTCGCATGCTCTGCTTTGGCGGCCTGGGGTTCACAGGTTCAGATCCCAGGTGCAGACCTATGCACCGCTCATCAAGCCATGCTGTGGCCGTGTCCCATATACAAAATAGAGGAAGATGGGCACAGATATTAGCTCAGGGCGAATCTTCTTCACAAAAAAAAAAAATTAAAAATCTGTTTAGTGAGTTACCATTAAAGACTAAAATACTAGTGATAGAAAAATAAACACTATTTGCTGCATGAAAAACAAAAATTAACTGCTACATGAGTAATAAAAATGATATTAAAATAATAAATCAAATTATCATTGTATCAGATTGGAAAAAAATATAAAACAATAATATCCAATGCTGAAGGTGTAAGGAAACTGGTATTGTCATAAATTGTTGGGAATATTAACTGGTAAAGCCTTCTTGGGGTTCAATTTGGCAATATATAGAAACATTTTTAATACATATACCTTTTGACTCAAATAATTCTATATAAAGGTTTCTACATACAAAGATATACAGACAAGAATGCTATATTTATAATGGAAAAAACACCTGGAAAACCAAATGAGCAACAAATATGTGAATGATTTCACAAAATATGGTGTATCTATACTATGGAATATTTTTAAGCCATGAAAGCAAATGGAGGAGATCAGCGCATATTGCCATTGAACATTAACAAACATAAATAAAAGCCAATTTACAAAGCAATATGTCAAGTATGCCCCTACTCACATAAACATGTGCATTTATATATGTATGTTTGTATATAGGTATGTAAATGTACAGCAGAAGTTTGAAAGGACACAACACTTATAATGGGGGAAGTAGAGTGTGAAGGAAGACTTCCACATTTATTCGATATACTTCTTTAAAAATTTTTTTACATGACCATGTATTACTTTACATAAGCAAGTATTACTTTAATAATTTAAAAAATTAGTAAAAGCTCACCTTAAAATTTTATGAGGTTACGACTTTTCTTTAGTTTTAATAATATTTCTTTTTGCTATTTTTATTTTTTTGTTGTTTGTTCATATAATTTAATTTTAGAAAATAAAGTATACAACTCAAAATTTTTTTAAATTTAACAAGCTTTGTAAAGAGTTTCAAATATTCACAAAACTTTAGGCACCCAAACTGTGGTATCTAAATACCATCTCCCAGAAAGGGCCCTCCTTAGAAAAATGACTGATTCCAGAGCAAGGGCAAGAAATATACAGGATGAACCTGGAATATCTTGTCACATCAGAAAACAGGGAAGTTATCAAAAACTTTTAGCATCATGTCCAAAAGGAGGCAATATGAATAAAACCTCACTGGCCAAATATGGGACAATTTATACATCAGTAAGGATAATAACTGCAATAATAAATAAAATTTATGTAATGAAACACATAAAATATGCTTAAATTCAAGAATTCATAATGATACACAAATAATCATACAAGCCCACGGGTTGTCTCTGGAGCATGCTTGGGCACCAACTCTTTACTTTGCCTTTCTTTATCTGTGGATAACCAAATAATCAAGGATAGGAAGTTTTCCTTTATAGGATTCCAGCTAATAAATGAAGGATAGGATTAGATTATTACCATTTTGTAACCTCATTGAATCAATGGGTCAAGGTGACGATTGTCAATGGCTATTGATATCACAAAAAGGGACAACCAAGTATTACTTCCTGGTAGAAGTACACAACACTTGCCTTCTGATAGCAAGTATTTCTGCCAAATAAATTGAACCTGAATCAGAATCAAGCTCTAGATTTACAGAATTACAGGGAACAGAGCAACATGTTAACAATACCACAGAGAAGCAATTAGCAAAATGCAGACTGTGGGAAACACCACAGGACAAATGCTCTGGTTTCTTCAGCCAAAACAAAACAAAAAATTGCAAAGAAAAAAAGATGTAGGTGGTTGTACCCAAAGATATCAAAAGAGAAACTTAGACTTTATTATCTAATTTTAGTGTACAGTCCTTATTTGGATTCCAATTCAAATAAACAACTATAAAATAGTAATAATGGTGAAAACAACTTATAAAACAATAGGAAAAATTTGAAAACTGCTTATCTGATTTGACGCATTAGGAAGTAGTTAATTTGTCTTAAGGTGATAATGGCTGTGTGTATATGTTCTAAGTCATTAATGTTTGGAGATGCATGCAGAATATTTGTAGATTAAAACAATGGGAATTTCTTAAAAATACTTGCGGATATATAAATTACATGTCAATTAAAACAATAACTAGGAACATGGGGTAAGTGTGTAGGGGTGTAGATGAAGCAAGATTGATCATGCACTGATAATTAATAAGCTGGCTGAATGGTAAATCAGGTTGATTAAACTATTGCCTTTACTTTGGTAAATGTTTGAAAATTACCATAATAGACAAAAAGCTCTAGGAGAACAATTAAACTATACACTTATTTGAAGTACCACAAAGTGCTGTGAACATAGTAAGAATTAGATGAATATTTACAAATTCATTACAAGATTGTCATAAGATTTTTTAGTTATTGAGAATAACTCGTGGTTTACCAAAAACAATTTCTTATTCCATTAAAGTTATTGATTAGAACAAAAATGATCACAAACATGTTCCAAAGAATAGGTCCAGTTTATTTTATTAAAAAATATTTTTAGGGGCTGGCCTGGTGGCGCAAGCGGTTAAGTGCACGCACTCCACTGAGGCAGCCCGGGGTACACCGGTTCAGATCCCGGGCACGCACTGACGCACTATTTGGCGAGCCATGCTGTGGCGGTGTCGCATATAAAGTGGAGGAAGATGGGCACGGATGTTAGCCCAGGGCCAGTCTTCCTCAGCAAAAAAGGAGGAGGATTGGCAGATGTTAGCTCAGGGCTGATCTCCTCACACACACACAAAAAAATTTTATGTATAATCATTATTATGAAATGTAGGATTGTCATCAAAATGTAGATGGTCATTAAGAATTTATCAAATAGATTATTCTATGTTGAGTTCAATGACAGAAGTATTCCTTAATTTATTTTCCCCAAATTAAGATGAGCAGCTGACCCTGAGATCTTTAGCCCAAGAAGGAGTAGGTGAGGAGTAGCCTGCTTTCTCAGCTGCAGAATGCTTCTGGAATGGATGCTGAAGAACTTGCTGGAGAAGACGGACCTGGTAAACAATTTAAGTAGATAAACATAGATTTTCTTTCTCGGGACCCTTATTAACTTTCTATATTTCTAAAATGACAAAGTAAATTTTAAATCTGTTTGAAGATATTTACACGTTTTATGTTTTATTAAAACTTGAGGGGCCGGCCTGATGGCATAGCGCTTAAGTTCACGTGCTCTGCTTCGGCAGTCTGGGGTTTGCAGGTTGGGATCCTGGGCAGACCTACGCACCGCTCATCAAGCCAACCTGTGGCAGTGTCCCATATGAGGCAGAGGAAGATCGGCATGGATGTTAGCCCAGGGCCCATCTTCCTCAGCAAAAAGAGGAGGATTGGCAATGCATGTTAGCTCAGGGCTAATCTTCCTCACCAAAAAAAAAAAAAAACAAAAAACACTTTAACTATAGTTGTTACTTAAAATTTCTATTATTCCACAGAAAGTTCCTCAAGTACTAGATTTGTGCTAAAACAAGAGAGTGAATATATACAGCATCATGAAGACTACATATATATCCTGATAAATCTAAAATTCCTTCACAGCATTAAAAGAAATATAATTTTCTAAAATATTTACAAAAATAAAAGGATGTCAATGATTTGCAATCTTTCCAAATCAAGGGCATGGATTCCAACTCATGCTGCTTCCTAATCTGCAATGTGCCAGGTAATAAACTGGTAATAAACTGAGGCATCAAAGAACACACCTCTTTCAACAATAATTCTAGGATCAATTGTATATTTTCATCCAGTTATAAAATGACTCAGTCATGGGGATGTAATGTACAGCATGGTGACTACAGTTAATAATACTGTATTGCATATTTGAAAGTTGCTAAGAGAGTAGATCTTAAAAGTCCTCATCAGAAGAAAAAAATTTGTAACTTTGTGTGGTGATGGATGTTAACTGGCTTATTGTGGTGATCACTTCGCGATATATACAAACATCAAATCATTATGTTCTACACCAAAAACTAATATAATGTCATATGTCAACTATACCTCAATTAAAAATATTTTTTTCCAGTGGTTTTGTCACTTCCTTGGGTATTACTAAGGAAATGCCTCATTCTGATAGAAAAAGGAGGATGATTATCTATAAGAAAGCAAGGCCAACAAATCAAATAGAGCATATCACTGTATTATTAATATTTTAAGTAGGAATACTGTATCATCATCAATATAGTGCTCTTAAAGCCCCTCTTAACTTCTCCCCGGGGACTTTCTAAACATATCGTTTCATTGAAGTCAGGTTTTTTTTGTTGTTTTTTGTTTTTTTGTGAGGAAGATTGGCCCTGAGCTAACATCTTTTGCCAATCTTCCTCTTTTTGTTTGAGGAAGATTAGCCCTGAGCTAACATCTATGCCAATCTTCCTCTATTTTATATGCGGGATGCTGCCACAGCGTGGCTTGATGAGCAGTGTGTAGGTCCACACCCGGGATCTGAACCCATGAACCCCAGGTCGCCAAAGCAGAGCACGTGAACTTAACCACTGCACCACCAGGCCAGCCCCTGAAGTCAGTTTTATACCTATCTAATTTCACCTACTAGTTTAAAAGCTCCTTGAACAGATGTTTATACTTCTCTACCATGCCTTGCAGAGTAGATTCTCAAGAAATATTTGATGCAAGAAGGTAAACACAAGTTGTGTGTGTAAAGGGTTACATGTATAAAGATTTAATAAAATCTTTTTCCTTTCCTGCATGAGAATTTAACCCCTGGTTAACTTTCTAGGTCTGTTGCCCTGGTAACCCGATAATGTCGTATGGCAACTGTATCACCATGCGCTGTTGCTTAGGACTGACAAATAGCATTTGGACTGGGAACTGTAAAGACCTGATAGAATGCTCTGGGCTTTCCTTAGTGTGGTGACTCTTGGTATAAGGTGGGTCTCTTGTGGAGACAGTGGAAACCTCCCCACCCATGGGTGCGGGTGCACACTTCCATCCGGCCGGCTGCTACAGGACATTCCCTGTAAGTAACTCCCAATAAACCGATGTGGCTTGTTCACCATCTCTGGGTCTTTTCTTTGGTCTCTCTGCAACCTATCCTGCACTGCTCACACAACTGGGCATGTGGCCAGACGCTGCTGTTGTGGACTGCTGCAAAAACGCCTGCAAACGAGGAACCTGGTGTTGCCCTGGTGGTAAGCTACGTTTCTGTCCTACATCTTCCAGAGTCGACTGGGGCCACGAGTAGCCTGCAACAGTCTTGTGAATCTGAATATTTACTTGAACCTAGGAAGACACCTCCCCACCCATGGTGGGCACTGCATCCTCACTCAAATATAATTATGAGGAAGGGAGGAAAACAGGGAAGGAACAAAATATAGGGAAGGAAGGAGAAATAAGCCAACAAAACAACTTATTACACAATGTTTAGTTTCCCCAGCTTAGACCAATTTCTCTAAAGATAAATACTGAGTTATCTCCCTTCTCTTTGTTTTTCCTTAATACCATAAAAAAGTTACATGTAAAAATATTTTATTTTCTAATATGAAAACCTAGACTTGTCAGGCTAATTAAACTACTGACTTAAAAAGTTAATGTAAATTCCAAATCTGAAATAGCAAAAAGAGTCTCTCTCTCATGTCAGCTCTGATCAGTTGGTAGTGACTACACAGCATGCTGTGATGTGAAGGATTCTGAGGCTGTGAGCAGTTTCAGAGAGAAAGAGGGCCGTGGTCATCAATAATGTCTGCTCCAGTGCAGGACAGAAGAGTGACAGCACGAGTGCCAGGGCCGTTCCTCTTCTAAAAAATATATTATGTGTAATTCATTTTTAAACAATTGATTATGAAATATCTGAGGCATAGAAGAAGGTATGCAGAAGAATATAATGAACACCTGTGTATCCATTCTCCACCCAGCTTCAGAAAAAAAATGCTTCCAGGTTGAAGCCCTGAGCATCCTTCCCTAACTCAAATTTCCTCCTCACTGCAAGGTAACCACTGTCTGAAGATGTTTATCATCTTTATTCATTTTGTTGCTTTTATTATATATGCATGTAATGTATCCCTAAATAACATACAATTTTGCATGTTTTACACTGTATTTAAGTGGTAACACATTGTATGTATTCCTTGCCACTTGCTTGTTTTGCCTAACGTCATATGTGAGATTTATCCACAGTGATGTACTAGACCTAGTTCATTCATCCTCAATGCTGTCAAGACCAATTTAAGTGGACCCAGGTTGCTAGTGCCATGGAACCTGGTAGAAGCAAAAGCTAACTCCTTCTGGAGAGATGCACCCTCAAATCAGGCTCACCGGATTTCAGAGACTGAAATCCAAAATTCCCAAACAGAAACAATAAACAGGGGCCGGCCCCGTGGCTTAGCGGTTGGGTGCAAGTGCTACGCTGCTGGCGGCCCGGGTTCGGATCCCGGGTGCGCACCGACGCACCGCTTCTCCGGCCATGCTGAGGCCGCGTCCCACATACAGCAACTAGAAGGATGTGCAACTATGACGTACAACTATCTACTGGGGCTCTGGGGGAAAAAAATAAATTAATTAAATTAAAAAAAAACAATAAAGCAGAATCAGACCCTCAGAAGTTCAAAGAATGTAGATATATGTTATAAAATGAATATTTAAATACAATAGAGAATAAATTAGAAAACGTGAGAAAATGATTCACTGATAAATACAAAAAGAGAGACCAGGCAACGAGAATTCTGGGAAGGTGGTGCTGGCAATGGTATAACTTAGCATGGCTGCAAACAAAATAAGTGTGCTTAAAATATGATATATTTAAAATTAATAAAAATAAACCCAGAAAATTCAACCCCCTTACCTCTGAAAAATCATTCCTTTCTGCTTTTTGCACTGCAGACTCTGCCATCCAGTTCTTCAGCACATATCTGGGATTAACAGCTTAAACAAGAGGGAAAAGTACATATTGGAACAATAAATTACTAAATTGACACAGGCCCTATGAAATTAGATAACCTTTAAGAACTTTGCTGGAAGGCTCAAATGAGAAGAGACGATCAGCTTCAGTCAATTTTGATGTTTATAAACAATGTACAGTATTTATTATCTTATGGTACAGAAGAAACTTTTTTGAGCATTATAAGCAATATTATGTTTTGTTTTTCTCTTCAGGGCTTCATCATTAATTTGGTTTTTTCACCAGGTTCAGTTCACTAAGCATCTTATAAAGCATGGAGAAAGTAGTGAATTCATCTGAATTCGGCCCTAAGTGGAGGGGCAAAGTTGCTGCTTTTCATATCGTCAAGCACAGAATTAAGGTCTGACTCAGTAGGACTGCTTAACGCTGAGGCCATCAAGAGCAGACAGGAGAGGTTACATGCAGGCAGTAGAGGAGGGCAAAAGAGATCATTAGGCACATGTGTGTGGTGATGGATTGTAATTAGTCTTTGGGTGGTGAACATGATGTAATCTACATGGAAATGGAAACATAATGATGTAAACCCGAAATTTACATAATGTTATAAACCAAGGTTACCAGAATAAAAAAAAAAAAAGCGACAGCCTTGAATTCACTAAATTTCTTTCATTTTACCATCTCATCTACCCTGTCATAACCAAACAAATCCAGATACTGAAGACTGACACCACATTTTCTTCTTTCAATTTCTTCTTTCTCTTAACTGCTGAGATTGTCCATTTTCTGAGCTGGTCTGTAAAATTCTGTATGATTACCCCAAGGGACATAAGTGGCCAGCAACTCAATCCATGCTGGGTCCCAAACAGATTTACTCACTTTCCGTAAAAACTAAACTTGTTTTTACTTCTACAATAATGTGCTGAGTTCAAGAAGCGATCTCATTCCCTAACCTAACATGGAATGTTAGCATCATCCTTATTTCATCAACATGAGTCAGGGGCCGGCCCGGTGGCGCAGTGGTTAAGTGTGCGCGCTCCACTGCGGTGGCCCGGGGTTCGCTGGTTCAGATCCCAGGCATGCACCAACGCACCACTTGGCAAGCCATGCTGTGGCGGTGTCCCATATAAAGTGGAGGAAGATGGGCATGGATGTTAGCCCAGGGCCAGTCTTCCTCAGCAAAAAGAGGAGGATTGGCAGATGTTAGGTCAGGGCCAATCTTCCTCACACACACACACAAAAAAAACCATGAGTCAGCCACCATGATGACACACACTACCTCTCTACACAAGTCCTAAGTAAGGCGAGAGTCCTGAAGGACTTAGGTCCTTCTGTCTTAACTTCTCTGATCTTGTTAGAATCCACACTGCAAAAAGAAATAACTTCCATTTTTTTCTTCTCCAAGCCAAGTGTGAAGTCATGATGGTAAACTGAAATCAGTTTATAAAGGCGATGTATTTTAGAGCAATCATTTACTGGATGTGTATTATGGTCCAGGCACTGTAACAAGACATCTTCCATATATCATTGATCATCATTACATTATCCCTGCAAAATATCCCCATTTTGTAATAGCTAAGGGTATTGAAGCTTGGAGAGTTAAGTATGTTTCAGATCATACAGTTAAAAAATGGCAAAATGAGATTCATCAGCCAGATTCCAAAACTCATGTTCTTTCCACCATTATAACCCACACCACCTTCCTTGTCTCTCCACTATCTTTTAAGACTCTATTATTTTAACATCAGTATGCAAACTTATTGAAAGCAGAGCTATCATGCCCCGAGTTAAACATCATCTGCTGAAATTAGAAAAGCTCATATATGACACTTCACCTCAACTAAAATATACTCAGCTATAATTATTCTAGTTAAAAACAGAACAAACAAAAAAACTCAGTTCCCTTAAGTAATTACTTCAGTTTTCAAAAATTATTGCTTTTATGTGATGATCCTTAAAGTTGAAAAAAATCAAAAGGAGGGGGGTGGGCACAAGGGGTGAAGGGGCGCATTTATATGGTGACGGACAAATAATAATGTACACCTGGAATCTCACCATGTTAGAAACTATTATGACATCAATAAAAAAAATCAAAAGGATTACTTACTTGTCATTCTTTCTCTTCTTTCAGAATCTGAATCATTCCTGTTACTAAAAATGAATAAAACACAGGACAAAATTAACCACCATCTCCCCAAATTATATCATTTTTTCAAAAGGGTGGAAATTTTTTCACAAGACAAATATTGAGGAAAAACATTAAAAATCACACTGAATCAATGTCTCTGAAAGAAAGACAGAAAATACTGAGTTTGATTAAACAATATATAAAATACTACCTTGTTCAGTTATTTTAGATAATACCAAAACTTCTTTTATTTTTACCAGTTAAAAAATACTTTTGTATAAAAAATACCCTAAACTGTCTGATCCCTTTCCTTATCTTAAACATAGTTTTCTGAAAATAATTTTCTTGAGTATTCAGGGTCATCTTTATAAACAGCCCTCAGCAGCCATTACACTGAAGGACTATTTGCTCCTGTGTGTCCTCTGTCTCCTGTCTCTTCCTTCTCCCCTCCGCGGCCACTGCCTACAACTTCTCTACTCTTTCATGTTTGTAGCCTCTAATTCATTGTGAGTTAGGAAAAAAAGTAACTTCTTACAACTGTGTCAGATGTGACAATTAGTAGACATTGGATGAACGCCCAAGGAGCTCTCATCCAGAGCTTCAGGGCTTGGGCTGGGGGACCTGGGGAACTGCGTTCTCAGAGTTGAGGCGAACAGGTGGGTGCTCTCTGCGTGGTGAGGAGTTACTATAGATGCCTCAGCCAGTGCAAAGGACCCGGAAGAAAAAAGGAAATGTTGGAAAATGGGAAGGAAGAGAGGAACCTGATGGGTTGACTATGCTAAAATAATGCATTAGATGCTTTTCCAGAAGTGATTAGATTACCTTACCTCTTCAGTCTCAGAAGGTACTGGGACACCCAGGCAGGAAAGAGTTCGTGCTTTGAAATCATCTTCAGTGCCCAGAATTGCTAAATAAAAATACAGTGATAGATGGCTTATTTTACTAATATCTGTTCAGTTTAACTTTATATTCCTTTAAATTATGTTCTTTAATAATAACTTACAATATCCAGATTTTTTTAAGATATGCTATTTCAAGTAGAAGTAGTACTGAAAAGGAATAATATTATCCTTTTCTTCATGTAACATTCAACTCTAAAATTCTAATTCATGGAAATCCATGTAATGGCATGATTTAAGAGAAATAAAAAATATATAAAGTTCCCATAAATAGAGATTATATGTGAATACTTATATTACCAAAGCCTTCCTTTAAATTAGGAACTCCCTTAATGTATAATTTACTTTTTTTTAATAGACATATATATTTTTTTTTTTAAGATTTATTTATTTATTTTCCCCCCAAAGTCCCAGTAGATAGTTGTATGTCATAGCTGCACTTCCCTCTAGTTGCTGTATGTGGGACGCGGCCTCAGCATGGCTGGAGAAGCGGTGCGTCGGTGCACGCCCAGGATCCGAACCCGGGCCGCCAGCAGTGGAGCGCGCACACTTAACTGCTAAGTCACGGGGCCGGCCCCTATAATTTACTTTTAAAAGCTTAATTTGTAACTGTGTTTTATTTAGCCATCTATTAATTCATTTAACACATATTTATGGAATGTCAGTTATGTGCTAGGAACTATGTTTGGTGGGAAGGATATAAAAATTAATAAGACATGCTCCCTGCCTTCAAGAAGGAAAGTGTAGAAACAAATAATTGAATACCATTTTAGAAGTTTTATAGAAATATATATAAAAGGCTAAGGGAACACAAAGGAATAAGCAACTAGCTGTACCTAAGAGCTAGGGAGTTGAAAAAGTTTCAGAATCCAAAGACACAGAAATTAACTATTGAAATGATTAAAAGTGTAACAATCTCTTCCCACTTAAATTTTCCCAACTCTTAGTAATTTAAATATCAATACCTGTCAAGAACTTGAACAAGTCACTTTAACATTACTTTGTCTCCATTTTCCACACACTAAATGATAATTAGTGATTATCACTAATTAAATGATAATTAGTTCAATAGACAAATCACTGATAATTTTTTGTGTGTGTGTGAGGAAGATCAGCCCTAAGCTAACATCTGATGCCAATCCTCCTCTTTTTTGCTAAGGAAGACTGGCCCTGGGCTAACATCCGTGCCCATTTTCTTCTACTTTATATGGGACGCTGCCACAGCATGGCCTGACAAGCGGATTGTCAGTGCACACCCAGGATCCGAACCCACGAACCCCAGGCCGCCAAAGTGGAGTGCACGCACGTAACCGCTGCACCACCTGGGGGCCCCCACTGATAATTTTTTAATTACATCAAAGATGCCTATTGGTTAACATTTTTCTGTATTTCCTACTGAACAGGTAGACATTCTTTTATTCAAATCACTCCTAAAAATGTAATTTATGGCTATCCCATACCTGTGAGAACAATAATTTCCTTATAATTAGTATGATCCATACCTACCTCAGCAATAAAATTTACTATGCTTCTTTTTCAATCAACAGTAGTTTAACTCTTATTTCCTACACTGACAACAATGATTTTTGTTTGAAAGTAGTTGTACAATAAGCGGTAAGAGCTGAAGCCTCTTGCTGACATCCTCTCAATCGTGGCACCTTTCCTTCAAACCCCAGGTGGACTCTGCTGGAGGTCACGCTGAGAAAACAGAGGTCTGAAATCACCACTGAGGGCTAACGACGACGGAGGGCCTCTGAGCTAGACATTACTATTAACCCATCTCACCGATGACACAGGGGAGGCTTAGAAAAACTGAGAAACCTGTGCCAGCTCACACGCCTGTCGAAGGGGACCCCGGAGCTGAAGCACCCCATCTGCCTCCAGAGCCCAGTGTCCTCCATCACCACAGTATACTTCCTCTTGAGCATACACTAGAAAATCCATCTTTCTTGCCTCCGCTTCACTATGTGGGAAAACAAGGACCAAGTTTTGGTAAAATAATGGAGCTTGAAATACCAAAGAAGTAAGAATTCACAAAGGAATAGCTGGCAGGCCTGGCATAATGAAAAGGACACGGGGCAGCAGGAAGTTTTGGTTCTAGTTCTGATTTTGTAAAAAACTACTATGTGAATTCAGCAAGTCATTTAACCTCTCTTGGCCTCAGTCTCCATATCGTAAAATGAATTCATCTTTAATGTCCTTTCTCAACGGAAAATTTTGTGAGTCTAAGCCTGAGACTACTTTAACAAATGGATCATGAATGTCAGGGAACTAAACCTTCAAAAAGACTACAATATTTTCATCTTGAGCATTTGTTTTCACATTTTTCTTTAATTAATTTTTCCCCTCTTAAAAAGAAATATATTGCTGATAATAATACAAAATGTCAAAGCCTATGGCAGTTTGGCAAGATGTAGCAAAATTGCAACATGTATATCCTTTAACCCAGAAATCCATTCTGGGAAATTCCCTACAGATTCATCTGTACCAAATGAAATAATCTATGTACACTTTAACAGCAAAAGTTGGGAAATAACGTAAGTGCCATTGTAGACAACTGGTTAAATAAAATATGGTACACCTACAAAAGAATGAGGATTCTTTCTATGTATTGACATAGAAAGATTTTCAGGACATACTATCAAACAAGATGCAAACATTACAAAGAAGTATGCTATCTTTTATATTAAAAAATATAAAAAATATATATATATCAATATCTGCTTGTATTTGACTCAAAACCACTGGACGGACATATAAGAAATTAATAAAAATGGCTTCCTCCAGGAGTGGGAGAGGGGAATGCAGTGGATGGGGACAAGGTTTTTAACCACGTGACTGTACTTAAACATTAAAAAAAAAATTAGGCCTAGCGTGGATTGCCTCTGTTACTGACCAGAGAAGGGACACTCAGAGAAGTTAAATCACATGCTCAGGGCTGGCCCCGTGGCTTAGTGGTTAAGTGCGCGTGCTCCGCTGCTGGCGGCCCGGGTTCAGATCCCGGGTGCGCACCGATGCACCGCTTCTCAGGCCATGCTGAGGCCGCGTCCCACATACAGCAACTAGAAGGATGTGCAGCTATGACATACAACTATCTACTGGGGCTTTGGGGGGAAATAATTAAATAAATAAAATCTTTTTTTAAAAAATAAATAAATAAATATATCGCATGCTCAAGTTTACTCAGCTACTGGATGATGATGTCTAGACTCAACTTCCACAGGACTCTAATTCCAAGCCTTATGACTTATCCTATGCTACCTCTCATTTGTGACTGACTGGATGGAAGGACTGAGGGAGGAAGCTGTCCGTCCTCTGCTTTCTCCCTGGACCCCATGTCTCTATTTTATTTAAGGCAAAATGATGTATGATGGGGAAGGACCTGCCTGGGCACGTGAATTAGGAGGCCCAGGAAGGGCTTACTCACTGCTCAGAGCTCCTCTAACATAAATTCTACCACCAGAACCACAGGCTAAGTGCCCATTAGCAGAAAAACACCTTTAGAAGGAGCCTCATCAGGCCTGTGTAAGCATGAGAATCAGATTCTGCTGTTTTCCTATTGACAGAGAATAAATTAAAAGCTCATAAAAGGCTGGCCCCATGGCATAGCTGGTAAGTGCACGTGCTCCGCTGCTGGCGGCCTGGGTTCGAATCCCAGGCGCGCACCGAGGCACTGCTTGTCAGGCCATGCTGTGGCGGCATCCCATATAAAGTGGAGGAAGATGGGCATGGATGTTAGCGCAGGGCCAGTCTTCCTCAGCAAAAAGAGGAGGATTGGCATGGATGTTAGCTCAGGGCTGATCTTCCTCACAAAAAATAAATAAATAAATAAATAAATAAATAAAATAAAGCTAAGCCATCTGTGAGTCAGGACTGAATATTTTAAAAAAGAAAAAAGCTCATAAAAATTTCATATTATTACTATGTTGAGCTACTGCTACAGCAGGCTTACATGAGAAATGCGTAGAGCCTGGGGGTTAAGAGCACGGACTCTGGAGAAAGCTGCCAGGGTCTGAATCCAGCCAGACTTTTACCAGTTGTGTGACCTGGCATTAGTTACAACCTCTCTGTGCCTCAGTTTCTCTATCAGTAAAATAGAGATAACAATGGTACCTACCTCATGTGTTATGGCAAAGATTATACATATAAAATGCTTAGAGTAGTGCCTGAAATATAATAAGCACTCAATAAATGTTAGCTATTATTATATTATTATTATTCATTATTTTGTAAAGTATTTACTATAATGCCTGTCCCAGAATAAACTCTCAATAATAGTGGGTTCTCAATAAATACTTGTTGAATAAATGCGTGAGGATGAATTTTTAAAAATTATGAAAAGATAACATTAACTATACAGAGAATGTCATGAAAGATATTGAAGAAATTTAAATTGAAAAAAATAAGGCTGTTTTAATCTCAAAAATAATACAAGCAATAATTGCAATATAAAAGACTTAGACCTTATAAACAGGTCTATGTTTCTAAAAATCTATAAGTAGGAGTCTTCTGGTAATACCCATTTTATTCCATAAATGCAATGTATTAGCTCTGAAATTAAAAGGCAACACATATTCTTAAAACTGAATTAAGTCCAGCCAGTTTGGAAACAGTTTGGCAGTTTCTCAAAAAATTAAAATACATTTACTAAACAATCCAGCAATTCCACTCCTAGTATCTATCCCAGAGAAATGAAAACATACGTGCACACAAAAGCTTGTACATGAATGTTCAGAGCAGTATTTATTTACAATAGCCAAAAAGTGGAAACAACCCAAATGCCCATCAACTGCTAAATAGATCAGCAAAATGTGGTATATCCATACACTGGAGTACTACTGAGTCGTAAACAGAAAAGAACTAATAATGTAGGTTACAACATGGATGAACCTCAAAAATATGCTACGCGAGGAAGCCAGATGCAAAAGACCACATATTGTATGGTTCCACTTACAGGAAATGTCTAGAAAGTGAAAACTTTGAGAGAGAGAAAGTAAATTAGTCGTCACTTGAGGCTGGGAGTAGAAACACGGATTAATGACAAATGGTACAAAGGACCTTTTCAGAGGGATGGAATGGTTCTCAAATTGAATTGTGGTGATAACTGCACCAATCTGTAAATTATTAAAAATCACTGAATTGTATATTTAAGGGGAGTGGAATTTTATGGTATGTAAATTATACCTCAATAAACCTGTTAAAGAAAACTGAATCAAGAAAAAAGCCCAGTGTCACAAATGACTACCTGAGGAACAGCGAGCTCCTGTAACTGGTCTCGAGTAATCTCGCTGAGCTGCCGAAACGTCATGGTAAAATCAGCTTCTGTCTTTTCCATGAGCTAATGAAAGTAACAATATTTATCAATCTCAATTCTTCAAAACTACGCTGAATAGTAACTCAAATGTTAATCGGAAAGCAAAGATAAAACGATAAACTCACATGTAAGAGAAATGCAATCAACTCCTCATCACCCTTCCTTTCTCCAAGTAACCCCAATTTGGCTTTGAACAATTCTCTAAATCTAGAAGGAGAAATACCAATTCAATGTGCTATTAAAATTCTCACTATTTTAAGAATTGTCCTCAAACCAACCAGGATGCTTTAAAATCCGTATTCACAAAGGACAAACCTTGTATAATAAAGATCAGGATACCCCTCAAGAATCTGAGCAGCACTATGGGAGGGAGAAAAAGAAAGACAGTTAAACCTTGATTTAAAATTAACATTCTTAAATTACATTTTATAAGAACCAAGTGAACCTTCTCATATATTAAATCACATTAGATTACATGCTACTGATTCTAGCTGAGTGATTTCATTATATATCATATTTTAGAGAAAATTATCAATATAAATTTATGGTCTCAAAGATTTAGATACAGTATAGATCAAATCATGTCACTCCTGAAACCTTACTACATACAATTAGCTTAAAGGACAAATGTTGATATGTTTCTAGTACCAAAAAGAGTTACATAAATGGGTTTTTCTGGTGTATTTTTAAAATCATCTTACATCCAAAATAATGCATTACAAATACCTCGCCCAATACAATAACATTTTATTTTTCTGAATGTATGAAAATATAGTGAAACATTTCATAAAAATTAAAGCATTCATAGCCTTAAACCCATTTTTAAACAAATAAACTTTCTGTTTCTTAACATTCTTAGTGTATTTAAGTGACACAAAAGCGTAATACATTCTGAAGCTCCACTCCTTTCACCTTCCTGACCTCATCTCCTACTACTCTTCCCCTTGCTCCTTCCTCTGCAGCCACACTGACCTTCTTGCTGTTCCTTAAACACCCCCACACGCTCCCACCCCAGGGCCTTTGCACAGGGTATTCCCTTGCCCGTAGCCCTCTTCCCCCAGATATCTGTGTGGCTTGCTCCTGGGACTCCTTCAAGTCTTTGCTCAAGTGAGGTGCTGACCATCCTTTTAAAACTGCAAACCCCTCCTCCCTGTACTCCCTATCCCCTGCTTTATTTTTTTCCATAGTACTTATCTCTTTCTAGTATGCTATAAACTTCTTTATTCTGTTTATTGACTGTCTCTCCCACCAGAAGTAAGCACCATGAGGGCACAATTATTGTGCTGTTTTATTCGTTGCTGTCCACTTAGCACTTAGAATAGTGTCTGACATATACTAAGCATCTCAATAAGTAGTTGTTGAATGAATGAGTGAACTCTGCGAGGCAAAAGGGATATAAAATTAATAGAGACAAGGGTGAGATGAAGACTGCTTAATGAATATCATTTTATATTGCTTTGGTTCTAAACTATGTGACTACATTACCAACATATTTTTAAATTAAATTAAGGAAACCATTGATGGTATGTAAAACTTTTATCCTTATTGTAGCAATTTTTTTGCTACCTGGGGTTAATAAAATCACTTTATGCCTTGCCTTCCATTTGGGATCTTGTTGTATTGGAAATCGTAAATTTTAGATTTTTTTTTGGTGGGGGGGGAGTGTGAAGACAAATACGTTTTATCTTATTGTAAATACACTGGAGACACAGAAATGATTAAAATGTGGTTCCTGCCCTCAAGGAGTTCAATGTCTAGTGGTCGGAACGACAAATATCTCAACGTTCTTTGTAATTATTAATGTATTCAGATTACCACTCATGCATATTCATATATATACATAAGATATTTCATTTTGAGTAACTAATTATAGACACTACAAAGTTATCTATTTATTATTTACTCTGTTGTTTAAAAAGGCAGCCATGTACCCTTTTTCTTCAGCCTAAATTCTGAATGAGAGATCACACAACAGACACTGAGATTAAAATTTCAGCTTTATTACTGATAAAAGCTAGTCTGGAGAAAACGGCTTAGGCTTGCAGATAAATAGGCATGATAATAGGTTGTGCCTAATTTGGAAACATTTATTCACCCAGTTGCTAGAACAGCAGTTATAACTACGGGCCTCTGCCATCTGGGCACACCCCGGTAAAACTAACGCATCAAGAAGCCGAAAACGTGTGTTATCGCTGGTCGGGCAGATTCCCAAAAGAGAAGTATTAATAGGATGAGCCACACATGTTTAGTTTCTTCTCCCAAATTCATCAAAGTGATGATTAACCCCTCTTTCCTCAGGGAGCAGTAAGCAGGGGCCAGAGAAGCACTATACCCTCTAATGAAGGGCCCCCCACCACAATGAACCACCAGAAGGCGAATAACTGATTTCCTTTAAAAGCATGAAAGGCCAAAGACTAAACCAGGGATGTCAAAGGAAGATGGCAATTTAAAAGAATTCCTGGTGCCTGCCCCTTCCCTGCTGTAATTCAAATCCTCTCCTGGGCCCAGGAGCTGCTGGGGCCTGAAGGAGGCGGGCGGGGCCCGGAGGGTCTGAGCGAGGCCGCAGACGCTCACTCCTGAGGTACAGCGTGGCTGAGCAGGGCAAAGACGTTAAGGGCCCTGCCTGTGTAAATGTTTGTGGAAGGAACTAGTGGGCTCCCTGGTTTCCAAGAGGCTACAGGGGAACTTCTAAAACTCTCTACGCCAGAAGGTGGGAGAGAACCTGCCTCGGCTGCTGAGGAGAGCTGCGAGCAGAGAGGCAGCCTCCTGGAGGCCCAACAGGAAGCTCAAAACTGGCCTGCAGTACTCTGCTGGCCTGTTCAAGGTGCACCCCCACTTAGCTGGAGCTGAGCCCCAATAAAGAGGCAAAGGAACTGCTACTGGAGACAGAGAACAATACGAAAAAATGTAATAAGAACACTTAAGAAGAATAAACTAAACCTCATTAGACCTTTTGGAACTACAAAACATGATTTCAGACTAAGAAATTCAGTAGATGAATTGAGAGAGAAGACGGTTACTCTTGAGACTCAAATTGAGAGGCTTAGAACATCAGGTAAAAGAAACCCCACAAAACACTGAGCAAAAATACAAAGGAATGGAAAGCATAGAGAAAAAATAGGAGAATTGGAAATATATTGAGGATTCATAACATTCAAATCATGGGGAGCCAGAGCACAAAAAGAAAGGAATGGAAGAAAGGCAACACTTAATGAACAACAGCAGAGCTTTCCCTCACTGGCCTGTCAGTCACAGTCCCAGGCAGAGAAGCAGAACCACTGCTGGTGCTATGGAACAAGGGATTATGTTAGGAATGCGACCTTACATGACTGTGGCAGCTGGCTAAGAAGCACAGAAAATGCTGTTGCTTCTGCATCTGGTCTTGGGGCTCAAAGTGAGCCGAGAAGACAGGAAAGACAATCGGATGTGAAGCTGGAGACAGTGAAGACAAACTGGAACCTACACAGAGAAACTGAACCCCGCATCTAGAGCTCGAGCTCCCACGCTCAGCGGTGCAGGTGACCTGCAGGATGAGCTGGTGCCCTTCACCGCAGAGCAGCACACGCCCGGGCCCAGATTCAGAGAAGCTGAAGGAGGCCATCCAGAGGAGCTGAGGAGCTGTGGACTCGGCTATGTCCCCATGCCAACAAGATGAGCCGGCAGATTCACGAGACGGGTGAGCTGCAGCAGTGCCTGACCCTACACCAGCCTTCTGGGTGTAAACATGCTGCTGCTTCACTTCTGCCTTCCAGATCTTGTGAATTTCTCTTGCGGCCAAACTAACCCATAACTATATAGGGAAAGGCATTTTTGGACCAGTTTAGCTAAGCTGATTCTTCATAAGGCCACTATACTATATACGGCTATATGATTAAGTTCTGGCTAATGTGAATTGAGGGAAGTGATGTGTACAAATTCTGAAATGTATCCTTAAATAGCGAGGACTTGCCTCTTTTCTTCTTCTCCACGCTGCTACACAGAATACGGATGTTATAGATGGTGCCCCATCTCAGACCATGAGGACCATGGAGGGTGGGATGGAAAGCTGGAAGCAGTCTGGGACTCAGACAACCGGTCCCCATACCAGCACTGAATTACCAACCTGCATACTTTTATGTGAGAGAAATATACATGTCCATCTTGTTCAAGCTACTATTATTTTGGGTTTCTGTTACATGCAACAAAATCCATACTCTATCTAATATCCCTAATACCCTACATCTAGATTATCTGTCAGAGGAAAATAAAAATACTAATGGTTATGCAAGGATTCAGACAATATATCACCTATATACCCTGTGTGAGTGAAATACTTAAGAAAGTAATCAAGACAGAGACTTCAAGAGGGAACCAAGAAAAAAACAAGAGTGGTAAGCAGTGAAATGACTAGAAATTTGCGGGGGGGGAGGCAGGTACTGGGGAAGGGAGAAATGGAATACTAAGGGCAAAGACTCTTAAAGTAGAAGAGATATACTTCAAGAGAAAACCTACCAACAGCCTGAAATTCAAAACATTAAATTACCTTAGCAAAATCTAGCAGTTGGGTAATTAGAGGTAAAACATAAAAAAGCCTTCAAAAGGTCTCATTTTACTGAGATGGAGGGAAAAATAATGAGCAAATAGAATTTTAGTGAGGGAAAATATTTGGAAACTTGTTTTCATATAACAGTAGAGAAAGTGGCAGAAAAAGGAACATAATCACCAGTGTGTGTTGGGGGGATGGGAATACAGTAGTTTCCAAAACAATGGGAGCGGAAATGAATGAACCACTCAAATCAAAAAGATAAGGAAAGTGGGGGAGAAAAACATCAAGTAAAATAAAGATAAAGCACAATGTAAGATGGAAGGAATAAAATAAATCAATCATTATAATAAATGTGAACAGCCTACATACTTCTATTAAGACAGAAACCATCACATTGAGTTAAAACTTGGCTATATGTTTTGTTTGTTTTTACAAGAAACAAACTTTAAAACAAAGTGAAAAAGAAAGGTAAAAAATAAAGTGAGATTCAAGGCAAATCCAACAAAAAGAAAGCATGAATGGCAATATTAATATCAGATAAGTTGAAACCGAGAGTTAAAAGTGCTAATCAGGATAAAGGGGGTCATTATGTTGGGATAAAAGGCATGATTTTTGAAGGAAATATAAGTAAAAAACTTGTATGTACCAATAATACAATAGCAAAATATGTAAATTTCAAACAATTAGAAAAAATTACTTGATAAAAGTACAATTAAAGTGGGATATTTTTGTTGTTGTTGTTGTTGTGTTTTTGTGAGGAGGATTGGCCCTGAGCTAACATCTGCCAATCCTCCTCTTTTTTTTTTTTTCTTGCTGAGGAAGACTGGCCCTGGGCTAACATCCATGCCCATCTTCCTCCACTCTATATGGGACGCCGCCACAGCATGGCCCAACAAGCAGCGTGTGAGTGTGCACCCAGGATCCGAACCGGCGAAGCCCGGACCACCACAGTGGAGTGTGTGCACTCAACCCCTTGCGCCACAGGGCTGGCCCCTAAAGTGGGATATTTTAATACACATCTACTATGAATCACACTTATCTAATAGACAAAAAATAAATAGGGCCATAGAGGACTTGAATAATATACTGGATATACTCAATTTGATACAGTAAAACCTCGACTAGAGAGTATACATTTTTTTGTATGATCATAAAACATGTACAAAAGTTTATTATGTCCCTGGGCCATAAAGAAACCTTAATACATTTTGAATAGTAGATTTTACCAAACACATTCTTCGATCATAAAAATATGGACAAAATAAGCCCAACTACTTAGAAATTAAGAAACAGAGAGATAAATAACCCTTGGATCAAAAAAGAAGTAAACTAAAATTGCACAACACCTAAAATCAATAAAGAGGAAAACACTTTATCCTGATAACTATGGAAAAAAGCCAGAACTGTACTAGAGAAAAATAGATAGTTTGAAATGCCTTCATTATTAAAGATTAAATAATAAGATGGCTTTAAAAATGCTAGTTTCTTGCTTTTCAAAAAATGATCATTATACAACTATATTTCCACACAGATTTAATTAGCAGATTTAGGTTTTACTTACAGATGCTTTTGCCTGGGATCCAGTAGTGGGTTTAGAGCTTGTAACAACTTGTTTAAATTAAACATCCCAATATTGGCCTGATTTCCTATTTTATATCTTCTTTCATCATCAGATGTGTTTGGTACAAAATCTGTTTACAACAAAAATACTATCATTATTTACAGTGGGGACAATTATTATAAAGAGTTTCTTCATTTTTAAGTTTATCTTTTTTTTTTTCTTTTTGTGAGGAAGATCAGCCCTGAGCTAACATCTGCCAATCCTCCTCTTTTTATGCTAAGGAAGACTGGCTCTGGGCTAACATCCGTGCCCATCTTCCTCTACTTTATATGGGACGCCGCCACAGCATGGCTTGACAAGCGGTGCGTCAGTGCGCGCCCGGGATCTGAACCAGCAAACCCCGGGCCGCTGCAGCGGAGCGCGCGCACTTAACCACTTGCGCCACCAGGCCGGCCCCTTTAAGTTTATCTTTAAACTTAATAAATTTATATTTACTAGATAAAAATCTTTCTGACATTAAACATTTAACTCAAAAGTAATATAAACACTTAATACCCACACACATGAAAACCTTTTAAAATATGAATATTTGCCTAACAGTGGATACATTTCTAACCTACAAGAATTTCCAGGTTATTACACACGCACTTCAAACTCCAACTCAAGTAGCCTGTGCTCCACAAAGCCTGCTCTGATCCCTCCAGTGGTAAGTACTGTATCATTGTTACCTCCGTTTTACAGATTAGTAAAGTGAGAGGTCAATGACTTGTCCAGGGGCACAGAGCCATTAAGAGTCAGATGTCAAACTCACACCCATGTCTGTCTGACAACACATTCCCTACTACCCTTCAGGTCATCTCTCTAATATGTAACTCCTCAACGGCAGAGACCACACAGGACTCATTTTTGTATCCCTATGGCACCTGGCAGATTGAGTACCACAGAAAATGACCATTTTATGAATGAACCCAATTCTTTATACTACCCCATCACTGTATTAGCTATAACAGTTTATCTAGAATAAACCTGTGATGATTTTTTAATGATATAAGGTATATGTGTGTGTGACTGTGTGTGTGTGTGTGTGTGTATATATATGTATACACACACACATAAATATACATACCTGGATTATAGGCCTCCATAAAACCAAAGGGACCATAGTCAATTGTAATGGATAACAAACTGAAGTTATCAGTATTACAAACACCTAAAACAACAACAAAAAATTCCAAAAACATGATAATAAAATAATAAAGCATCTTCTTTTTTTTTTTTTTTTGCTGGGACAGATTCATCCTGAGCTAACAACATCTATTGCCAATCTTCCTCAATTTCTTTTTCTTTTTTCTCCCCAAAGCCCCAGTACAATGTTGTATATTCCAGTTATAAGTCCTTCTAGTTCTTCTATGTGAGCCTCCACCACAGCATGGCCACTGACAGACGAACGGCGTGGTTCTGCGCCCGGGGAACCAAACCCAGGCTGCTGAAGCAGAGCATGCTGAACTTTAACCACTAGGCCATCAGGGCTGGCTCAGCATCTTTTTAACTGTATCAGATTATCTAGAATAGGAAAGGTCAGTGAAACGCATTTGTTTTAGAAATGAAACATCAAACTAGATTACCAATTGAAAGTTCAACTGGTGAAGTCAAATAGCTTAATATAAAATTAAAACTATATTTAAAAATTAAATTTAGCCTTTTGTTTTATACTCCTCCCTCCCAAGATTTCAAACACTACAGGAACAAAAGCCCCAAGAAATGAAACTTCCTCTTATTTATCCTCAATGTCTAGCATTTGTTTAAAAAACATAAGTTATTTGGAATGGAATCGAGACTAGTAAAGGAATACAATTAATTGATTTTCACAGGGTTGTGAAAACGTAAAAATATGGATATGTACCCCCATAACAGTCATTAGCTGCAGACAACTAGCAATGTGGGGCGGGCGTGTGACCTCCTAGGGGAGGGGGCCCATGGATGGGGACAGAGTGTGAGGTAGGAGGAAGCCACAGGATGGACACACCAGCTTAATACAGGCTAGCTGGGCAAGGAGGCAACAGCATCCAAAACAAAGAGTTTCAACCTTTTACAGAGCAAGATAGCCCTGTTTATCAAAATGTTAAATGTCCAGACTCTCTAACCCAATCATTCCACTTTTAGAACTTTATCCTCAAAAACTCACCTCCAAGAATTCAAAGGTCCAGTTGCATGGTGGTCACTGGAGCACAGTTCATAACAGCAAGAACTCTGAAACACCTGCCCGCTCCCTATCCCACCCCACCCCAAGTGAGACAGAGAGTCTGTGTGTGATAATTAAAGGAGATTTCAAGAGTTCTGCAATGTGGGATCCCCCTTTGGTGTTTATCTAGAGACCCTGGTACATATCATTCAGTTATTCTTAGTTCAGGCAGATATTCCTTCCAACGCAGCGCCACGCAGAGAATGGCTTCAAACACACACAAGCCAGCCCCACTGCTTTTACAGGCTACATATGAATATCACCGAAAAAAAGTCTATAAGTGGGGCTGGCCCGGTGAAGGAGTGGTTAAGTTCGCACGCTCTACTACGGCAGCCCAGGGTTCGCAGGTTTGGATCCTGGGCACAGACTTATGCACCACTTACCAAGCCATGCTGTGGCAGGCCTCCCACATAAACCAGAGGAAGATGGACACAGATGTTAGCCCAGGGCCAATCTTCCTCAGCAAAAAGAGGAGGATTGGCGACAGATGTTAGCTCAGGGCTAATCTTCCTCATCAAAAAAAAAAAAAAAAAAGTGTAGAAGAATTGATATGAAATGGTTAACAATGATTATCCCGCAGAATGGAACTCACACTCACTTCTGTATATTTTAAATTCTTTTCCATAAGCATGTAGTGCTTTTCTAACTATGATTTTTAAAATAGCTTTAAAGAGATCTAAATATAATATATATTCACAAGGTTAAAAAGCTTTACAAGTAACAATATCCTCATCAAAGTGAGGATGCCTATTCTATTTTGTCTATACTGTTCCATTCAAAACCATTTTATTTTTTTTTTTTTTAGATTTTTTTTTTTTTTTTTTTTTCCCCAAAGCCCCAGTAGATAGTTGTATGTCATAGCTGCACATCCTTCTAGCTGCTGTATGTGGGACGCGGCCTCAGCATGGCCGGAGAAGCGGTGCGTCCGTGCGCACCGGGATCCGAACCCGGGCCGCCAGGAGCAGAGCGTGCGCACCTAACTGCTAAGCCACGGGGCCGGCCCTCAAAACCATTTTAAACATGAGAAAATTGTTTCTCTGTTGCTAAAAAAAAAATTCACATATTATAAATGTTAAGAAGCTCATCAGGAGGAATATTTTGAAATACACAAAAAAGAAGTCTTCTGCTTCAACAAATTAATTCTACTTCCTCATCAGAAGAATGAAACATCAATAGATAACTTACCATGAGCAAAACCAACAGACATCCACAAGGCAATAAGTTGTGCTGTCTCAGATACCACAATAGAAAAAAAATCCTAAAATAAAATTTACAAACATGTCAGATTTTCAGTAATGTATACTCTTTTAGAATCTTCTGATAAGTCACAAGGAGAACATGGAAAGAATTCGAAGATGAGCCAAAAGATGACTAAAGGAATGGAAATTAGAACATGTAAGAAAAAAATGGAAGAAAGAGAATTATTCATCCAGAAATAATATATGAAAGGTTCAGACATAGTATATGACCAGGCTTCCTCCTGTCCAATAAGAAAAAGAAAAGCATTAGAATTTAGCACGAGGGAGTTAAATGTAAGCAAAGAGAGTTACTAAACTTTAAAATGAGTCACCAAGAAAAATAATGGAATTCCTTTCTCTGTGACTGTTGAAAGAATGAAAAATGGTTATGAAGATCAAAAAATTTCCACTAGACTAGAAAGCCACATCTTCCTATTATGTATTGTGTTTATTTGAGAACTACTACTATAGAAATATCTCTATATCTAATGTGTGAGAAAAGAATATACATGACCAAGTTATATATGCTGCTCAAAAAATAATGTATATAGTCAGGATGCAGTACCACCTGTTATTTTTGTCTAGGTATCTCTCAATAAAACAGCTGTCTTATCTATGTCTTGTGTATGAAGTGGTTGATCTTACTTTCGTCTAACAAAATGTTCAAAGTGCTCTACATTTCCTTTCCTAACTGTAATTTTTTAAGTTCTAAGTTGTAACCACTAACGTTGGCAAGCTAGTGAGAGAAAACAGAGTAGTGCCCTTTCTCTTAAAACTTACCACGTATCTATTAGGTTCTTTGACATCCACTGAGGGGAAATGTTCCTGGATGATGAAGTCTAATAATGTCCTGGAGATAAAAAGGAGACAGCATCAGTGTTCCTCAGAATACAGTAGCAAGTATTCTATCACCTAAATCCACCCTTGACATTCGTGAAGTCATTTGATTCATGCTTAAAATTTTTTGAATTAAAATAAGATTTTATTCCCAAAATAGCCAGAGAGAAATATTTCCTTAATACCAATCAAAACTGGAAATGTGTTTCTAAGATAATATTAGATTCTATCTTATTATGTTAAAATTTAGCTTAGTTCAATAAACATCCATTGAGTACCTACAGGACCTGCTATATGCACTGCACCCTGTGCAAGGGCTAAGAAAAGAAATGACCAGACCCAGACCTCAAAGAGCATATAGTCTATTAGAGGAGAAGAACAAATGAGGACATCACGACATCACAGTATAATACATACACGCAATAATAGAAAAATGTAAAATGTATAAAAATAACAGAGCAGGGAATGATTACTTATCTGTGGAGGGTCACGTAAGGCTTCACAAACGAGGTAACCAAAAATCGGCCATTGTCTGAAGTTAAAATATTTAAGTTGTGTATGTATCATATTTTTTATTCCCTATTTTAACTGACTATTCTAGCTAGTCAACTAACCGCTAGTGTTTATTGCATTGTTAAGAGAGAATCCAGAAAAAAAAGGGGGTTGTAGATATGATTTGAAAATTATTAAAACCCAAACGAATAGGAGTGGATGAGAGTTTGTACATATATATTTTTTTCAAATCATTTAATACTTTGAATAAGTGCCTATGTGTTAAGAACTGTTTCAGGCATTAGGGAAACAAAAAGGAACATATACATAGTGACGTTACCAGTGGAGGCATTTTAAGGATGAAGTGGTCACCGACATACATCAAATGTCAGAGAGAGAAGTGAAATATAACTGAAGTAGGACCACCAGATGGAACAATTTCAGTGACATGGTGAATCCAAGCAGAAGTGACCCAAAAAACAAATGGGAAGTTAGAAACAACGCCCAGTGAGAGTAGACAACTCGCTCAACAAGCCAGGAGACCCTGAGCTCAGTAAACGTGCTAAAGAAAGAGACTCAGAGGACAGTCATGACAGTGTGATGACTTCCCTTCTCTGCTTCCTCATTTCCCTCTTTTCTTTTCTCTCCATATTCTTCGCGGACCAGGTGTCTGGATTTACTAAGCTGATAACTACAATATAGGATTCCTATTCCAAATGATTCTAGTTTGTTTAAGAGAATTTTTTTCTTATATATTTCTAATGACTTTTTAAAACTCTATTACCTTAACAAATGGAAGCCCTAGGAGCAGGAAGAGGAGGAAGATGATTTCCTCTTAAAGGAGGAAATGTTTTTGTTTGAAGAAACGTCTTACTAAGTGTGCTTGAGGAAGATGGAATTTTGTGAGCACAGAGACCACAGGCATCAAGACATCCGAGAATGGTGGGCGCTGTTCTACATGACAAGAGGGGAAGAATCTATTGCCTTTGCTCTTTTGAAGCAACTCTTCGTCTGTCTTCCCTGCAGAAATCTTCAGTAAGATGCACTCTGTTCTTTTTTTTTTGCTGGGAAAGATTCACCCTGAGCTAACAACTGTTGCCAATCTTCCTCTTTTCTTTTTCCCCCTCCCCAAAGCCCCAGTACACAGTTGTATATTCTAGTTGTAGGTCCTTCTAGTTCATCTATGTGAGCCGCCGCCACAGCATGGCTACTGACAGACGAGTGGTGTGGTTCCACACCTGGGAACCGAACCTGGGCCGCCTAACCGGAGCATGCCAAATGTTAACCACTACGCTATCAGGGCTGGCTCCAAAGCACTCGGTTTTTAAATGTTTTGTGTAAATTTAGTCTGTTGTTTGGTTTCATCCTGTTCAAGGGGCTAAGTTTCACATTTGGGTCAACCCATTATGAAATGGGCATTACACACATCAAAACTGGAGTCCAGAGAAGAAGAGACATGAGACAGAGCACGCACCCTGGGAATCCCACAAACTGGAAGGGGAGCTTTGGACCTCTTGAGGCTGCAGAATTGGGGAGTTTGAGTCACTTCCACCCAGGTCTCTGAGTGGCATGGAGGCCCTCAGCTGCAACTGGGTTGCATACTAGATAAAAAATTCCTTGAGGAAAAGGTCTACTGGGTCTTACACTTCTTTTTTCAGCCCCCTAGAAAGCCCACATCATGTCAGGCACATAGAAAGTGTTAAAAATATTTACTAATTGAAATGTTTTGTTTTGTTTTGTTTTGTTTTTGTGAGGAAGATCAGCCCTGAGCTAACATCCAATGCCAACCCTCCTCTTTTTTTGCCGAGGAAGATTGGCCCTGGGCTAACATCTGTGCCCGTCTTCTTCTACTTTACATGAGACGCCGCCACAGCATGGCTTGACAAGCGGTGCGTCAGCATGCACCCGAGATCCAAACCTGCGAATCCTGGGCCACCAAAGCAGAGTGCGCACGTTTAACCACTTACGCCACTGGGCCAGCCCCATGAAATTTTTGGTTTCACTTATAAGAAAATCAAAAATATTTTAACTTCACAGCACAGAAATAAGCATTTTTTTCAACTGTCTTCTACCATTTAAAAAAAATGTCATTTTCTAACCTTAGTAAATCCAGTTCACCATCATGAGCCAAAATTTCTAACGATCCAAATCTAAACCATGATTTTGCAACACGCAGCACTACTGCACCTGAAAAAGAAACATTTATTTTAGCATAAACTATTTTAAACTATGCAAATATAGCATAATATGCTTTTCTTAAAAATGAAATTATTCTGGGCCAGCCTTGGTGGCCTAGTGGTTAAGTTCAGCATGCTCCACTTCGGTGGCCTGGGTTCAGTTCCCAGGCGCAGATCTACACCACGTGTCTGTCAGTGGCCATGCTGTGGTGGCAGCTGACATACAAAAAAAAAAAAAAGAGGAAGATTGGCAGCAGATGTTAGCTCAGGGTGAATCTTCCTTAGCAAAAAAAAAAAGCAAATTATTTTAATAAAAAAAATACAGTAACTGAATTTATCGGAAAAACAACTAATTTACACACTAAAGAGTATCAAGGATTTTCTCTATTTCTTTAAGCTCAAATCAGCTAGAATGTTAGGAACCATAACACTTTCAGAAATACTGAGGCTCCAACTTAGCTAAAGGCTGTTCAGTTAAACCGTTACGCTCCAAACATCAGATTCCCACCGTCTCCTCAATTATGACCTTTTCCCTCTGCCTCGTCCTGATATCAGGAATTAGTGAATTATTTCTATGGCATAGGCCCTGCAAGTCTCTTCCATTTGTGTAACTAATTGAAAATTAACTTCAATTAATAAATGGGTGCACATGTTCTAACTTATGAATATACTGAAGAAATAAAGTGAATTTGTATTTTGTGTTTGTGTTTGCAGCCTTCTATTACCGCCTTTGTTTTGATTACAGACATTGGTAACACAATCAGTAAAGAGAATTCATGTGTCTGTCTTATAAGGAATGCTGTACTTATGTGTGTTTCGACGTCAAGGTGAAGTCTATCCCAGGGGACGAAAGCTCCTGCTCTGCCGGTGATGTCCTTCAATAAAATACCACACCGACTGCTACCTCCCAGCCTTTGTGCTATTCTCCCCTGCTCCACACGCTCCACTCCCTCTGCTCCCTGTCCTAAAATGCTTTCTAATCTTATGCTCAAGACCAGAGCCTCATCCTCCAAATGGCTACACTGATCCCCCTTTTACCGACCTCAGACTTTTTATCATTCATTTGTTCCATGTATTTAAGCCTTTTCTCTATGAAGACCGAGTTTCTCAAGACCAGGGACTATGATATATACTTACTACTCCTGGATCCCCCAGAGATTTGTTCAGTGGTAGGCACAGAAAAGGGCCAATTAGTATTTTCTGGGTTAACTGAATTATCCATATAGTCAGGACTTATTCACAATACTAATCTGAATATTTATTTTCATGTGGGTTTTTTTTTGAGCAATAAAAATGTAGTCACTTAGGAAAAGTATAAGAGCTCAATAAATTATTCTAAATGTTTACTTAGCGAATAGCCATTGAAACACTGAATGTTAGCAATGAAAGACACAGGAGGTATAATCTAATCTAACCCCCTCATTTTAGCTGGAGAAACAGAGGGCCAGAATGTGGCTTGCCCAAAGTCACAAATCATTTCCCGCAGAGCCAGTTCTAGGTTTCACGTATTCTTTCTGCTTGTCCAGCACTTTTCTCACTGAACCACAGTCGCTGCTGGGCAAATATTAAGGTACAAGCACAATCGAAATATCTGTATAGGGCCGGCCCCGTGGCTTAGTGGTTAAGTGCGCGCGCTCCACTGCTGGCGGCCCGGGTTCGGATCCCGGGCGTGCACCAACGCACCGCTTCTCTGGCCATGCTGAGGCCGCGTCTCACATACAGCAACTAGAAGGATGTGCAACTACGACATACAACTATCTACTGGGGCTTTGGGGAAAAAGAAACAAATAAATAAACTTATAAAAAAAAAAAAAAGAAATATCTGTATATATGTGAAGACTTAGATGTGAATTCTATTAATGGCTTAAAAAGGAGAAATACTGGGGATCGTTTGAAACCATTAAGATTGTGGTCTGGAATTCGGATTAACAATATACAGTATATAAGTCATAGCCACAAAAGTAAGTAGTGTTGTACCCGTCATATTAACCATCTGTGATTGGAATCTCATTTCCAAACACCATAAACAAAAAGACCTAAATAGTTGTTATAGGCCCATGTGCAATAGTATCCATTTTATCCAGACTAAATTAAAGGGGAGAGACAGAGGCCATAAAGATAAATAACCCTTAATTTCTTTAAGCATGAATACCTTGGGGGGATTTTTTTTTATGAAAATCTTATCAAAACTTATTATATACACTAAGTATAAAGAACATAAAATGTGCTCTTGCTAAATGACTGTGAACACCAGTAAAAACACTGCCCCATGATATAGTGATGCCCACAGGACCCAATAAAGCCTGTAGAGATGTCAGCAGTTTTCAATATCTCTGCTTTTTAAGCAGTTATATATGTTTATTATTGATTTTCAGGTCACCTCCCTCCCCAGAGATTGAGTCGAGTTTCTCTCACTCCTCTTTTTGGTGCTCTACAGCACACTTTCTGATCCTCTTTCTAATTTTTTATTTCTAACCTACTAAAGGCTGAGGAAGAAGCTAATTGAACTTATTGGAAGTAAACACGAAGAGCGATCAGGCTCTGAGGAAAGGTCTGAGGGGTCTCCTGGGAAGAAAATGGGTGAGCTTTCATGTACTGGCTTTGTAACATGTCACTGGCTGTCCACAAACATTTTTTGCTCCCTTCCCAGATGTGTGCTGTTTAAAATGGATGGATTAGTGATGTATGGATGTGGGAAAGAATATTGTATAATATCATAATGCTGAAATTACACCTTGAAGAACCACGGGTCACTTTTTAAGAAAACTGTAAAGATGTCCAGTATCTGTTATTCTTTAAGAACTTAGGCTAATTTTACGTAAGTACTCTAAAAACGGTTATTACCTCGTTCTTGCACGATGTTTCCATTGTAGAACTGATCTCGCCATACTCCATCATCACTTACAACCAGACTGAAACACAACAGAGTCAAACAATTAAAAGTTACACTTATTCAACTGCTAGCAAGCTATCAAGAAGTACCTAAAACTATAAGAAACGATGAGAAATCATGCTCTCAGAGATCTATCTGCTCCATTTCCTGACATGTTTCTGAAGATAACAGGATGCAGTCCTGAAAGTCAGCTTCAAGGAAAGAGGAATTACCTCGCAGCTCTGCTGGTTGGAATCCCAAGATAGTGCATAGCCTCACTACACAAAAATTCTCTCACTGAGGAGCGAAGTACAGCTCTGCCATCACCATCTCTATGGGTGATAAGATCAAAAAGATTTTCAGTCATTAAGATAACATCAATTTTTATTTAGATCACTAAAAAAAAAAAAATCAAACTGTACCGAGAGTATGGGGTCTTTCCTGAGCCTTTTAATTGGAGCTCCCACTTTTCACCCTGCCTTCAAAAGAATGTAAGTATTAGAAGATTCGTGTTAATATTTAGCAGAAAAGCTATTATACAGGAAAACACGTGGTACCTGTTCATGTAAATTCCGATAAGATGGGCTCTTCCATCTCCAAGCTGGTCTGCCCATATCCCAAACTAAAGGGGAAAAAAGAAAATTATTCATGTGTATTAACCTTTAAAGCTTTTATAGTAATTTTATAGCCAAAGTTATTTTGTCAAAATTGAGAATAGGGTATTGCATTTTTGGGATTATAATCAACAACTCAAATAAAGGTGAAAATAAAATTCAATCAATAAAACAAGTGAAATTCATTTTAAAAATATAAATTTAAGACGTAATCAATTTCTTCATCATCTTATAGCTGAGCTCAAGTTTGTTAGGTATAGAATACTTAGAACCGATCTGTTTAGTTCTAGAATATGAACTAGGAACAGTTTATTAGTAGAAAATTTGCCTATATTATACACATGCCATAGAAAATCACAAACATACTTGTACCTGAAAAAATTGCTTTTGAACTTGCATGATTAACTGTTGCCAAGCTTTTCTGTTAAAACCTGTCTGCGGTTGTTCAACTCCCAGCTCTGCCGCTTACTAGCTGTGGAAATTTGTTTGAGTTACTTCATCTCACTGAGACCAACCTTTCATTTCTGTAAAACGGGATAATGCTTGCCAGGTTGTTGTAAGAAGGAATGCTAATATATGCAAAATGCCTTGTACTACGTCTGACATACGCAAGTGCTCAAAAGATGGTAATTATTATTATTGCCAACAATTATTTGCTAACTTAGACATCACTCCATTCTCCATATAGATGTTACTTCCACCAGAAAGTCTTCTCTGACTTTCCGGGACTGGAGGGTGGTCCTGTAAATTCCCATAACTCCTATACTTACCCCATTACAACCCTGATATTACCGGAATTTGTTTATTTATCTAGCCCCTCCCCTAGAGTGTTAGCAATTTGAGCGAAGGGGACAGGTATCATTCACCATTATAGCTTGTGACACATAAAAGGAGTTTTATAAACAGCTGTGGAATCTTTAAACAATGTTTCTAGTTCTGGAAGAAAAACATGAAATTGATAAAAATCTATCCAGTATTTTAGTTTTCATTTTAACCAGGAACAAACCACCATTAATTAATTTTTGCTGGGAATATTTCTAAGATCCCAAGTCTGACAGGTGCTCTCAGCATACTCTGGAAAGTTCTAAAGTCAACAATACATTAGCGCCCATCAAGGGACAAATGGATAAAGAAGATGCAGTATATATACACCATGGAATACTACTCAGCCATAAGAAACAATGAAATCTAGCTATTTGTGACAACATGAATGGACATTGAAGGTATTATGCAAAGTGAAATAAATCAGAGGGAGAAGGTCAAATACCGTATGATCTCACTTATTACGTAGTAGATAATAACAACAACAAACAAACACATACAGACAGAGATTGGATCGGTGAGTACCAGAGGGGAAGGGGGAGAGAGGAGAGCGAAAGGGATAATTAGGCACAAGTGTGTTGTGCTGGATTGTAATTAGTATTTGGGTGGTGAACATGAGAACATGATGTAATCCACGCAGAAATAGAAGTATAATGATGTACACCTGAAATTTATAACATTTATACAATGCTAGAAATCAATGTTACTGCAATTAAAAAAAAAACAAAACACAATACATCAGGTATATCCCCCACCATGAAAGGGAAGTAGAAAGAATGGTGAATCCAGAGCCAGGAGTGAATTCAGGAAACAGGAGGGTGGTTCACCATTAACAAAAGAAAGAAATCATTCATTACACTGTAAGTTCAAAATGGCAAAGCCATCTTTTTAAATAAATATTTATAATATAATTTCAAATCAGGGAGAAGAAGAAAGAGATGAAATGTGAAATTCACAAAAGTTTGATGTAATTTACTATACTACAAAAAAAACTGCAAAAAAGAACAGCTTGGCAAAACTGTGCAGGGCTTAAGGTTATATTTGTATTTTAACAGTACATGTGAGTACTGGTATAAAATGCTGTCTAATAATAATAATTTAACCTATCTGGGGAATGGCTTGCTGAACCATGTATTTAGGAGCTAGAAAAAACCATAGGGGTCATCTAGTCCAAAAGTTTCTAAACTGAGAAAAATAGCTCCGCAAAATGTTAATAGTTATTCCTTAAAAACAAAACAACAACAAAACCCTGCAGTCAAATATGTTTGGAAAATGGTGTGTTAAATAAAATTAAGCGGATTTCTGTGCCATAGCACTTCTCACAACTCCTGGAATAATCCTGGGCAATCCTTGCACATTACAGATCAAGACACTGAGGTTCAAGTTTGTGATGGATGACCCCTAAAGTCCTTTACAATTCTAATGGTCTATGTCACTTGGCTTCTTAGCTTATGTTAGCTTAGCTTCTTAGCTTCTATGTTACTTTTGCTTCATAGGACATTGAAGAATGACAGTAATAAAAATCTGAAAGGAATTAACTACCCCAACAAACCAGAGCCTGATGTTATCAGTATTATAACAGCTATCATGGAAGCACTTTTCATGTATTTCCTACCTTAATCCCTACTCCGACCCTATTATACTTTGCTACCTGTCCTAAAAATTATTCCTGAGTAAACCAGCCCCCAAACAACCAGAGAGTGTTAAATTAATCTTTTCTAGCTCACAGGAAAGTCGCAGCAATTTCAACAACTGGTCCTGTGTTCCTTCTCTTTATTTTTTTTAATTAGTCAGATACCACACCTCGAACTTGCTTCAACATTGTGGTTTATTTCTAGAAGGTGCCTTCTTAATTGCTTCTGCATATATAGTCATGTGTCACTTAATGATTGGGGTATGCTCTGAGAAATGCATTGTTAGGTAATTTCGTCGTTGTGCGAACATCACAGAGTGCACTTACACAAACCTAGATGGTCTAGCCTACTTCACACCTAGGCTCTATGGTACTCATCTTATGGGGCCACTGTCATATATATGGTCCATCATTAACTGAAATGTCGTTATGCGGCACATAACTGGATAACACCCTCAATTAACCCTGATTTAATTTTTAGAAGTTTCCAGCAGTTCTAAAACTTTGCTCTACAGTGATCCTGGCAAAATTATAATCTATTTGTCCTTCTGAGGCTTTTATATTGACTCATCGTGCTACTTGTCTTTGCCTAAATCTCTGGCCAAAACTTTACCGAATGAGTTCTCTAGCAATAATTCACAGAACTATTATATTTGTGCTGTCTCAGTTTTCTCAACTCCATTAAAGAAACTTAGGCTCTAGCTTTATCAGAGCAAGAAATCACCTCAGCTAATCTACAAACATCTTATAATGACACATTCTTCTAGAAACATCATGTTGAAGTCTCAATACGCTGATATTAGAGAGAGGAACGCAAAATAACGTCTTTAATAGGACAGCATTTCCACCAATGGTATATATTTGCATAAGGGAAGTGATGTTGCAGCTACTCTTACCTGGTGGCCACCATATCTGTGAGCCAACGGAATGGATCCAAATAGTATCTTTTCTCCACTTACAAGCTGGATAAAATCTTCTGTTTCTGAGACAGATAAATCAAGGTCTAAAATATCTTCCAGAACTTCCTGAAGCAGGAAAAAAAAATCTTCTTACAAACTTAAGTAATCCCTTTAAAAATTTTGAGAAAAGAGACAACAGAAGAAAAAAATTCTTTAAATAAACCTCTTCTGAAAATACAATAATATTTTTTCATAAGAGATGTACTATACTTTCTATGATTATTTACGGTATTTGGGAAAATTAGTTCTATTAGATAGTTCTAAAATTTGTATGTATTTCTTGTGATGCACAGTAAAATAATACTTTTCCTAGCATATGTTCTTTAAAGGAACTAGAAAAAAGTAAATTCTATTTTTATATATCTTAAAAGTGAGCTCTAGGGGGCCAGCCCTGTGGCACAGCAGCTAAGTGTGAGCGCTCCGCTGCTGGCGGCCCAGGTTCAGATCCTGGGCGCGCACTGACGCACCGCTTGTCAGGCCATGCTGTGGCGGCGTCCCACATACAGCGGAGGAAGATGGGCACGGATGTTAGCCCAGGGCCAGTCTTCCTCAGCGAAAAGAGGAGGATTGGCAGATGTTAGCTCAGGGCTGATCTTTCTCACAAAAAATATAAAAATAAAATAAAATCATAAATGGAAATTAAAAAAAAAAAAGTGAGTTCTACTTTTATCCCAAATTCATTTAAATCACAAAAAACAATTTAGAATTTCTTATTAGAGCCCATTTCTAAGAATTCAACTCATTTACCCCTTTTTTTCACAAAAGCATATTTTCCTTGTAAGATAACTTGAAGACGAAACTAAGTACTAGGCTCCAGGAATAAGCATCAGAAAGTGATTTCTAAGAATGACATTCTCTAAATGCCTGAATTTTAAACACAAAGATAGTTGATTTATCAATAGACTAACAATTTAACTCTGAAAAAAATATCACTACCTTTTTAGACAAAAGTTATAGTGAGTTAATATTTGCGTTGTGAAGAAACAAAGCCTAACCTTTGAAACTGCTATCAGACGTACTCCTGATTTGAAAGGAGTAGGGAAGGCCATTGAAAAAATACAGTTTTTCACTTTACGAACATAATTTTCTTTAACAGGATCAACCGGCAACATAGCTGACAAGAAAAAAAACCCTCTTTTTAATGTTCTCATTTGTTGCACATAGAGCATTAACATTCCTTAGAAAGGCTACAGTTCTTCAAGAAAATCAACTTAAACCACTATTTTCTTCATACTTTGTTATTTAAAAGTTATTTTACCATTTTCAACCGTATCTATCCAATATTCATATAGTACAGTATATGGAACTGTCCCAGAAGATGGGAGATAAAAAAGTTTAAAACAAGACACATACCCTGTCTTCAAAGACTTTCACTCATGGGAGACCAACAGGATGTGTACTATATTTATTATTTATTAGAATATATAAATAAAATGGAGGTAAGCTGCATTGCAATATTAGAATTGTAGTACCAGCCAATTCAATGGATCTAATAAAAAAATATTAAACACCTAATCACATTCTTTCTGCCCTTCAGGAAATCATAATTAACTGAAGGAAACAGATAAATACATAAATAACATCTAATATCAGATGTTTTACTAACAGTACAAAACTGCTTCCAAATGTACCAGAAACTTCAAAATATTTGACAGGTGCCTGTTCACAAGGCTACAAGTTTAAAAATTGCCTCTAAAGAGAGAAACTATATTTCATAAAGTCCATGCACCAAAGCACATGTATTTTATTTAAAAATCTGTAGAGAAAAAAAAGAGAGAGCACTTTGAACATGCTTTAGCTACTCAGAACATACTTACTTGTATTTTACGTACAATTCTTAAAATCTTAGTTTTCCCAATCCAAAGCAATCAAAACAAAAAACAAATAGAAGAGGGTAAGTGTTATTAATAAAACTACAAGACAAAGGGACACAAAGACCTATGTTTCTGGATAGAGATTATATTGTCAAGATGTCAGGGTCATCAAATTATTTAATAAACGTAATGGAAATCCAATCAAAATCCTAGTAGGGTTTTTTTTTTTTTTTTTTTAAACAGACAGGGCCAGCCTGGTGGCTTAGCGGTTAAGTGCTCGCGCTCCACTACTGGTGGCCCAGGTTCGGAACCCCGGGGGCACGCTGACGCACCGCTTTTCTGGCTATGCTGAGGCCACGTCCCACATACAGCAACTAGAAGGATGTGCAACTATGACATACAACTATCTACTGGGGCTTTGGGGGGAAAAAGGAGGAGGATTGGCAATAGATGTTAGCTCAGAGCCAGTCTTCCTCAGCAAAAAGAGGAGGATTAGCACGGATGTTAGCTCAGGGCTGATCTTCCTCACAAAAAAAAAAAAAAAAAGATATTAAAAAACAAACAAATTTAAAGTGTAAATTGGAATAATAAAGACTAACTTTTTTTAAATAAGAGAAATGGGAGTTTCCTTATCATATTAAAAATTAAAAGAATGCAACAACTAAAAATATCATTATCCCCAAAATAGATGCGAAGATCAATGGGACTGAATAAAAAGCCCAGAAACAGCCCCAAGTAATGCAAAAATTCCCTATATGATTAGAGAAAATATGTTGAATCAGTGGAAAAAGGTGGCTTCAGAACAATTTGGTCAACTGTTGAGAATAACTATTTATTCCACAAAAGTTTAGGTAAACTAAATGTCAATTACAACAGAAATAAGAGTAATCTTGTATCTTCCTCAAGTCGGTATAACAACAGGCAAATGTGGGCCAGATTTAACCCTTCATACTTTTCCCTAAGGACATGGGGAATAAGGCAGCATCGTGGGGAACAAATGGGTAGTCAACCACAAAACAGATGATTTTAGTATCCACCAAAGAAAACCTGATAATATCATTAGGAGCAGAAGATGCAAAAGTGTATTTTCTTCTCTTTTAGGAGAGCCTCTGTGTGGAAATAGCCTAAGTTATATAATTAATGCATTTTCTTTTATGACGCTCTAACATTTTAGTAGAGCATGGGCAGTATATAATGTTCCACCAGTACTTACGATTTTGTACTGATCCATTCCCACTTTGGCACCATAGCTGTTCGGTCAATGCACGTGATCACTGGCCAAGGGACCAAAAAGACTAACTGCTTCAGAGGTCCCCACCCCTCACCTTGTGCCCCTTTAACCAGCTCGTCAGTCACTAAAACACCCAAAGAAAATTCCAAAGTACAACCCTTTATCTTAACATCTCAGAGAAATCAGTAATTCCAAAATTAAATTCTTTAGAATTCAGTTTTGCCTGAGAATATGAAATCCACAAAAACTGCTTACCCTTCAGTGCAACTATGTTTGAACCTCTTCTCTCCATAAATGATCTTACCACAGTTACTTTGATAATTTATTGATCATTTATCTAATAACATCAGGATGAGATGTTTTTATGTGGTACTGTGAACCAAGACATGGTTAATACATATACAGTATTATGTATATAATCTCTCCTGGCTGTGAAGTCTGGCCCTACTGTAGATAATGTTTTCAATAGTATCATCATTATAGAAAGAAAAATGTCTTAAAGTGTAACCAACTCTCCAACATCGAAACAACTTTGAAAATGCTTTCAATTACACACTTATTCCATTTTTATCAGTCAAAACTGGTTGTTTCATTTGTGTAAGTGCAGTCGAAAAGACCAAAGTCATTTCTAGCCTGTGCACAAGAGAAGTCTGTTCGTTGGCAATTACTTGCACAGCTCAGACAATGTTTTTAACTTCCTGGACTCAAGCTTGGTCTAGTTGGGTCAAAAGAACCAGTGTGTATTCTGCATGTCCTATTGGTGGGTGATTGTCCATCACGAGTTTAGCTCTACTCTAATACGGGAAGCCTTCACAAATTTCATCTGCTTCCCAACTTAGCCTTGCAACATTACACCTTTCTAAGAGCCAAGTATTTTGTTTTAATCTGGGTAAAAAAATCTACCCAGAAATTTAGAACAATTTCTAAATGAAAATAGCCTGACAGAATTGTGTAGAGCTACATCTGTCAACTATGTGAGCTTGGGCAAGACACTTAATTCCTCTGTATCTGTTTCCTTATCTGAAAAACAGCAGATGACTACATCTAGGTCATTGGATTGTCGCAAGTACACCTGTTTATCACTACACTCTACTAGGCAAAGTCTACCTGTTAGACGTTTCTAAATATATAAACCCGTATCAAGATAAGCCACAGGTGCATATCAAAACATTTATTTGTAAAGCACCTGACATGTTTTTTACATAATATTCTTCAAGACTGGGGGGAAAGAAACCTCACGAAGTTGGTTTATTTTAATAAGCTTCTTTATTCTATGCTTTTATTCAGTAAAAAAACAATACTTTGAAGATAAACATAAAATAATGTGCTCAGCTATATGGGTACGTGCACTCTTTAATGCAAAAAGCAAGGTTCAGACGAACAAGAAAAAATATCAGACAGTTGCAGTTGCCTATTTGCTGGTCTATCTCCTCATAAGAGTGAATTTTTTGAGGACAGAGTAAGTTTCTTGTATTTCTGTATCCCTCATGCTTACACTTTCTCTCATTAGCTCTGTGTTTGTGTGCACGTATCGAATTAATTATATCACGGATTTCTGTTATAGATACGCTCTCTCATTACCATGAGAAGAGTAGATCTGGCTACAGAATGAAGAAAAAGTCTCTCTAACCCATATGAGAGAGAAATCCTTGTACATTCTCCAGTATTCCCTTGGCTGGCTACAGAATTAAGACAAGGTCTTTCTAACCCATATCAGGTACTAATCCCGTACATTCTCCATTATTCCCTGGGCTGGCTACAAGTAGGTTCAACATTACCAAATATCAAACAATTTCACACAGCTCAGTACACCCACGAGCAGGACTCACATATCCAGATGTGAGCAAGACTGCCAAACGATGCCAAAATGTACCTATCAAGTTTTCAGAGGAGAGAGTCCAAAAGTCGAGAGACGAGGCTAATCTAACTTCTCTTTCACAATAGCCCTGGTCCTGGTTTGACCTATTACAGGAAAGATACAAAAGGCTGTCACTTCCTTCAAGGCCAGGTTGCAACAAGCAGCAGAAAACGGCGTGGCAGGTCACACCCAAAGGCAGCAGCCGCAGGAGCTGTAGCCTCTGGATTAGCCAGCAAAACGGGAACCCTATTCTTTGAGTCATATTTCTGCATAAAGGCGCAGAAAGAAAGAGTTGGTGACCAGAAGTCTGGCGCACTGTAGCAGTTCTTACTAACAGCCGGTCCCCAAAAGGTACATTTCCGCTCTGACTGTTGGAGCTGCTGGCTCCCGGCGAGGGGCACGAGGGGATCGAGGAGACCGCTGCCCGGCTGGGAGGTCCCGCTTAGTTTCTCCGGGGTCGTGAGGCCGGCCAAGGGGCGAAGAGGCCCCGGGCGCCCCCGCCGCGCGCCCCTCCTCTTGCCGGTTCCCCGGCAGGGCCGCGCCGTCCCCCCGGGCTCCGGGGCAGGGGGGCGCCCGAGGCTCCCGTCCGGGGAGCGCGGCGGCAGCGCAGCTCGGGGGAGGGGGAAGACGACGCGGCCCGGGCGGGGCCGAAGCTCTTCCTGTGCCAGGTTTCCGGCTCCGGGTCCCGGGAGGAGGGCCGCCGGGCCACAGGCGGAGCTACCGCCCCGCCGCGACTTTCGGACTCGGACCATGGCCTCGTGCTGGTGGCGGTGGCGGCGCTGCTGCGCCTGGAGGCCGTCGGCGCGGAGCCCCGGGCCCGGGTCCCCCGGCCGCGCGGGGGGACGCGGAGGGTGGGCGGCGAGCGTCTGCCTGAAGTCGGGGCGCCCCGCACGGGACTGCAGAGCAGTCTCCTGGGGACCGAGGGTGCATTTGGGGTTTGGGGAGGGAGCGGTGAGGAGCCAGGTCCCGAGGAAGCGCCGGAGGAGTGATCAGATTATTTCTTGGAGCGCGGACAAAGTCAAGTCTGGAGACCGTCTGCAGCTATTTCCTTTCGAGTTACTGCCAGGTAGGACAGATCTTAACTGGGATTTTAGAACAAAAGGGTGTTTGTTCCGCTCTCCGCTCTCAGTGACACGGAAGATCCAGGTGACCTCGGAATAGGCGGAAAAGGTCTTGTGGAGAATGCAGGGCTGATGCTTCGGGTGGACCGGATTTCAGTCTCGGTAGTTCTTCGGATGGAGAGCACACCTGGACGAGGTGGAAGGGCAACGGAAGGAGAAAAGGCCTGAGGATGTCCCAAGTAGAGAAACCTTGGATCATCTTTAATTTGACCTATGACTTCTTGAAGTAGAATCAGAATCTCAGCATTAACCATGACTCCCTGACGCTCTCCGCTGCTTTTGGACCCAATCTCGTTTATCTCCCTCTCCGGTCAGTTGTGCCCCTGTGAATGGACGTGTTTCTGTGGCTCTGTGAGTCTCTTCTGCACTCTGTGTTGACTGATTCTCAGCCTGCCATAGGGTAGGCCCCTACTGTTTAGCATAACTGTGCAAAATCTGTGGACTCGCTGTCCTTTTTAGAGACTTCTCCAGTCACACAGTAGTTGTACCTGTTCACCTGTCATCTGCAGGGCTCATTTTTTAAAAGTTTGTTTGAATTTAGGACTTCTGTTTCAGTCAGATTTGGTACACTTCATATTCCCATCAAACACCATTTACCAATATGAAATATGTAGCATTTATAAATGTGTACTTTGTATCAAAGTGGATACATATCACAGCTTATCTAAATTAGACATTTGAAGAGAGACTGGCAGCTGGGCTAATAGATGGACTAGACAGTAAAGAGAAGATGGGAGAAGAGTCTCAGGGCTTTGCTGGGATCCAGTTCAGTACTGTCCTAGCCAGACTTCAAATATTTCTAGTGCCACCAATGGAGAGATAGATGCACCATCCATCTGCTGCCATTGGATACTTTTTTTTTTTTTTTTTTTTTGCTGAGGAAGATTCGCGCTGAGCTAACATCTGTGCTAGTCTTCCTCTATTTTGTATGTGCATCACTGCCACAGCATGGCTGACCAGTGGTGTCGGTCCACCCCTGGGATCCAAACCCGTGAACCCCAGGCCGCCGAAGCAGAGTGCGCTGAACTCCACCACTAGTCACTGGGCCAGCCCAGATACTTCTCTTTGACGTTCCTTTTTTTGATTCCATGTCCACCAAGCAACTTAAGGAATGCTTTCCTGGAGGGAAGATACTGATGGCTTCCATGTCTGCCTTAATGACCACAAGGGGGCGCTACACTGATGATGCCAGTACCGTATGTTTCAGATTCGTGTGTCAGTGCTATTTTTCACTATACATTAACATATTAGCCTTCTGGTGTCTGCCTCAGGCGTGTGTGTTTTGGTTAGTTCAAGTCTCTTAGGGCCTGATAGTCCTTGGGGACAAAAAGCAACGATAATAAAGCCATGTCGGGCTCTCTGATGCAGCTCTACTGCTTCCTGATGTAGGTACCTGATCCCCCTTCTCCAGGGTAGTGTTAGCAAATCTTGTAATGGGACAAGAACCAATGCGCATTTGATTGTGCCAAATCACTTGTCAGTAAGTCTTCTTACTGAGCATTTTCTCTTTTTTTAAAAAGTAAATTCATGGAAGGCAAGGTTGATTTTCAGGGAGTATACATGATGGAAGGGTAGGGAACAAAATCAGAATTGGAAAATGATTGTTGCTACTGCAGGTAGTGGTACAGCTCTAGTTTCACAACTGCGTTTTAATACTTGACTGCTCTTCTCAACACCTCTAACCTCGCTTTGGAAAACATTGCCCTAAGCTACTCTTAAAGCAGAAAATAGCTTGACTGAATAGATGCTGTATTAAAATGTACACAGTGTATTAAGCTCTGAGTTAAAAGTTTGATGTATACCCTCTAAATTAATCTCATCTGTCCATGAGTAGGCATGATCAGAAAGATGTCACAGGTTAGCACAGACAGGAAATGTTGGGATTTGAACCAAGATCTATCTTCCAAAGACCATGCTTTTTCCCACTTAAACGCTGCCTAGTGGTTAAGAGCACTCTGTATTAGCTGGGTAATTTTAACTTTTCATTCCAGGTTAGAGATTAGGTCTCAAACTGAATAAGTATTTTAATAAAGTGCTGAGTTTGTATGAGTTAATTACCCAGGAAGGCTGAAAGAAGTGAGGTAAGTGTCATATAATGGTAAAATCAAAAGAGTAGATTATCACATTTTCTTGGGACTTTGTAATTGCCTGGGATGTCATAAATGTTCTTATTGGTTTAATGAATATGTAACACTACAGTGGAAAGAACAGAACTCAGACCAGTTTAGTTGGCCACTGCCTGCCTAATAAAGTCAGCCTTCACTGTTTTTTAAGTATGTCTAAAGCAATATGTTTTCACTAGAGAAAAATCAGAAAATATAAAAAAAGGAATAAAACAAAAAACTCCCACAAATCTATTTATTCCAAAATAACTTTTTAATACCCTGGTTTATATGCTTCCAAACCCTATTCTCTATGCATTTTATTTGTGCTTGTGTGTATAAATTTTTAGCAAGATCACATAATGCACACAGTTCTATAGGTGCTTTTTTCCTCTGATTTATTGTAAACATAGCTGTATACCAGTTTTGCAGACTTTAACTTTTCTGAACTTCAAGTTCCCCAGCTGGAATAAAGCACATTCTCATATGTGTGAGGATCAAATAATAGTGTAAAAGCGTGTTGCAAGACTTGATTACTAATAGAGTGGATGAGTTTTATTTTTCTTGTGCTAAATTCATCCTTTTTGCTTCAAATACTCAAATACTCTACATCACATTAGATTAATAAATTAGTTATTTTTGAAAGGCCTGGCCGACTTTGGTCCCCAGTACCTGTCACAATTCCTGGCCCATAATAGTGGTTACTAATTGTTGGAACTAAAATTGACCATCACCACCTCTGAATCTTTCAGAAGTAGTCTCCTGTTCTTTGATCTCTGATTAGGTTAATATCATCAAAATGTGCTGCTCGGCTTGTTTGTGTTTCTTTTTTTGGTGAGGAAGATTGGCCCTAGGCTAACATCCGTGCCCATCCTCCTCTACTTTATAGTGGGACACCACCACAGCATGGCTTGATAAGCAGTGTGTAGGTCCGCGCCTGGATCCAAACCTGCGAGCTCCGAGCGCTACACTGGGCTGGCCCTGGGCTTCTTTGTTTTTTAACATTACCTATCAAGAGGTACCATTTCCAAGTGTGTTTAGGAACAATAACTTAAAATAGGCAGTGTTTGTGTAAATGTAAATTCCTTCCTTAATGTTGAAATCTTTTTCCTTTTCACCATCTGGGCTGATGCCTTTGGGATCTTGATTATTGTCTGTTTTAAACCAATTTAAGAATTTAAAAGCATGTAAATAACACTGATCTTTACTATTCTCTGACCAGTCTTAGTTAAATGGAAATGATTGTCTTAAAACTGCTTTCAGATCTGGAAAGATAGATATGAATATGGAAAGTAGCTTTCTTTGGGCCAAGGGATAGACTATAGATGTTTTTTATTTTCTGCTTTTTTCTTATTTATATTTTCTGTAATGACAAATGTTGCTTTTGTAATAAGGAAACTTTTTGTCATTTTTCAAAAGTTTTCAATCTACCTCAAAATGGACATTAAAAGATAAAGATTATTATGAGTTATGAGAGTTTTTATTTATCTAGTATTATAAACAAGTTTTTCATGCATATTCTTACAAGTTTCTTGATACTTTTGTTTTATAGATGTCCTATTTTAATCTTGTGAAGAGTTTAACATCTGCTTTTCCAAATATATATAGTATACCACGGTAAGTTTATAATGCATATTGTAACTACTAAAATTATTAACTGTATTGCTAGTAAATTTCTATTCTAAATTGTAGTTGGCTAGTCCAACAAATTTAATGTTGTTTAACTAAATGCTACAATATCTACTGTGTGTGATCTCTGCCTCTTCAAAAAATGAGAATAAAATTTAAACTCAACCCAGAACACAATGAACATAGTTTAGTCTTTCTTTGATTTTGTGGGTTCTCAAGGTCCTGGTTATAAAAATGAACTATTGACGTATCGTTTAGCAAGAACAGAGTTCTGTATGTTTTTCTAAATTTTAATGACCGTTTTGGATTTGTGCTTAATTTCCAGCAAGTATCTGGGCTTAAGTTTTCCATCATCTGACTTTATTACATATATAAGTATATGCACATATGTATATAATTCTTACTTAAAAATGAAATGACCTTGGGGCCAGCCTGGTGGTGTAGCGGTTAAGTGTGGCAGCCCGAGGGTTCACAGGTTCAGATCCTGGGCGTG